TGATTTGCTTATTTTGGGTTGGCATGGGGTACTGGGGAGTCTGGATGATGATTACGTCATAGGTAGTATTTTTATTTTTTTGCATTAATTGCAAAATGTTTACATAAGCATGGGGGTAGGGGTAAGAGCTTTGCTTCTTTTTTTTGCTGACAAGGGGGATGGGGGGGGGGTAAATAATTGTAATAAATATGCTTACATAATACTTGAACGATCCCCAAAGACTATACCGCAATAGTGATGAAAGGTACCCATAATACAAAACTATTAGTAAGACTACCAAGTCATTTGAAAGTTTCATATAGCCAGCGCAAAATCATTTAGATTTATTGATATTTAGCAGAAAATTGAAACTCAATTACTCATTTACTACATTAATTTGAAAGAAGATAACTTGTAAGCTATACTTCGATATAAGCAATTAATTTGAAAATAATTTTAATATTGGCCCCCCCCTCAAACGATTGGTTCTGTGGCATAATTGCACCAGGGACCCGCATTGAGTTAGGTTCAACTACAATATATTAAGGCATTTTCATTTCTATTTTATTTTCTATATATATACTATTACAGATACATGCCTCGGTACTAGCAAAGTACAGAAGGTCGTGGCAGAATTACATAATTCTACTTCATTTTTGTTCAATAAAACTATCATTTTTCTGTTTACATCATACAAAAAAATTATATAAAAAAATGCATAGTGCTGACAAGTTAGTTGTATAAATGTTAGTGCCAAATCTCTAGTGCTGTGTACACTTCTCTATATGTACTAACCAACGTAATTCCACTGATGATGACATTAAATTGAATGTCGAAACGTTTGGAAATAAAGATTATTTTATAAATCTTTGGCTTTTCTTTGTTTTGATTATCGCCCTCAAGAACTCACTCATATATATATATATATTATATATATACTAATTTTATTACTAACTTATGCACTTGTTTTTTTTCTTGTATAAGCAGTAATTGTTTAATGCAGTTAATTGACTTATTATACTTACATGTATGGGGTTCTCAACATGCAAATATAAAGTACTATAAAATTTGATTAGATATACTAAGACAATAACTAGTTATACATCTTTTACCAATGATTTTCAATATATTAAATATTTCTATCCTATATTTAAATCGAATATTAAGCATAGAATGAACAACCTACCAAAGATTTTAACTAGATTTTTAGTACTTCAGTAATTTAGATATGTTTATGAAATTTGAATTAGAGTAGAACTTTATAAATAATTACATACTAAATAAAGATATAAAAATAAAAATATCAATGACTCGACTAACAAAATTTGTTACAATAGACTCGTAGATATACTCGCATGTATAAAACACCGATATAATTATTGAGCATTTATTTTATATCAATATGTATTATGCTTGTCAGTACCACAAATTTAAATAGATAGGATGCAAATAAATAGGATGTGAGAATCAATCACCAAAGATTTTCTGAATTTAATGATATCATCTCCCGCTTACAGTTTTGATTATTTTGATGTTATATCAAGATTAAATTTGATCTAATAATTGTTTATATACTATAGTTGGTTATAAGTAAAACAAATCATAATTTTATGGGGTTAATGTTTTATGAGTCAACCATAGACCTGAGTTACTAGACGTCGCGAATTGCAAGGTAATTAAAACTGAAAAACTCTGAAGCTGGCAAATATATATTTATTTCTATAAACCAATAGAGAAATAAATTATCAAATATAATTGTGGGCAAAAAGGTGGTAAAACCATTGAATTATTTTAGCAAATAAAATGACATTCTTTAGAGTAAAGTAGTTATGACTGATCATGCCCCATAAAAGAGCGTAGCGCTGAACCAGAGAGCAGCTAACAAAAGTAGTTGCCAAAGAATATCAATGACAAGCAAAAATGGATAAGCTAAATATTAGCTGCGTGAGCAACCTAGACAAGAAAACTACAAAAAGGAAGTTGAAGAGCTCAGAGTTGCAGGAAGCAATACCATATGGAAACAGAAACGACATTAAGAATTGCAGAACACCTGACAAAAAGCTAAGAAAATGAATTGATTCCAGATCCAGATCATTTTAAGCTGGATTTCGAGTCAATTAATTTATCGGAAAGTGATGATGTATATGCAGATCCGCTAAAAATGATCCTGAGTACAGTTCACCAAGGCATATGCGAGTCTCAGCAGGTGTTAAGCGTAACGTAATTGATTTATAAAGGGTTATGGATAGGTTTACTAAGATAATAATATCAACAACTCAATCGTTCTTAAACATGAGTAACCAAAAGAATTATATCGCTGGCGTGATAAAACAAACAAATAAATTCTCAAATCACGATCATGGGTTGGCCGACGTCACAGATAATCCGATTGTCCTAATATCAATACGAATCGATCACTTATTTATGGATTCTAAACATTGTTTCGCTAAATTATTAGTTGTAGTCCTTGATTTATACTTTTGTATCAAATATAGTAATTTAGACATCATGGGCACATGCGGCATGAATTAATTGAGCATCTGCATTATATATATATTATATATATATATATATATATATATATATAAACTTTACCATTTTCACTATATATTGATTAGTCCTATAGATCTATGTGATTACATAGAGAGATTCACAATAAAACGATTGTCGATAATTGATTAAAATTAAACTTATTTACAGTGAACTTACACGACGTCGGTAAATGGGCTTAAACTTGTTCTTATCCTTAGAAATATAATTTTTTATATAATTCATGCGACATAATATATTAGATAATTTTCTCAAATAATTCATGCGACATAATATTAAGATGATTTTCTCAAATAAACTATATACAAATTGAAATATGAAAATATTGTGACAAATTTGAAACTTGATAGGTAATTTTATTATTAAATAAAATAACTTTTTTCATATAGGATAATGATATATGGTAAAAATATGTAATATTTGTGTATACTTTTACTATAAACTTCCTTCAAGTTTGCCAAATTCGCCACCAACTAATATACCAGGCAAAATCTATCATACTCCATCCATAAATAATATCAATTAGCATACAACAATTCACCATTATATGAAACATACAAATGAACGGAAAAGCGAGATTTACACCATTTTATCCTCATTTGTCGATATAAAATATGTTAATGAGAATAATAATACTCAGCACACTTCGTAACAAATTATACATATTTTAAAACTATCTTTAAATATCATGTCTCATAATGGTAATTTCTTATTAGCTTATTGAAATGATAGCAATGTCACAATCGCACAGACACAAACTAGCCTAGTCTTTAATTCAATCAAATATTAGACACCTGGCAGCCTAGCTTCTTGAAGTGCCGGCTGAGTCGCTGCTTGATATGGCGAGAGTCCTGGAAATCCAGCAGCGCCGCTGCCAGGCAGAGCCGCGTAGGTGTACGGGCTCATGTAACCGCTGGCTGCAGCACCTGGGTTCAAATAAAATTTGAATATCACAACAAATGGCGTTAATGTTATAAATAAATGAATATTAAATCGATTTATTTTTGCTGAATTAAACTTTATCCAAATCTGCTAATACCTTATATTTGAAATTTTTAGCGTTTTTGTCTTTTGTCTACTACTACTGATAATTTACAAACCTGCTGCGGCAGCCGCGACGCTAGTGTAAGGATATGTCTCGAATCCATTAACAGCAGCTGCTTGCTGCTGAGCTGCTTGTGCCGCTACTGCATACTGTTGTGGATATTGAGCTGCTGCTGCAGCTGCAGCCTGTAAAAGATACAGTACAGTACAAAGATAAAATCTAACAATTGTGATTAGAAGTGAAAATGCATATTTTAGATCAATATGCACAAAATATGTTCTACATAATAAACATTACTAGACAAAATTTCAATAAAATGCCTCATATGAGAATTTCTCAGACACAATTTGTTAAATTGGTTTCTAATTTCTAAATTGGTTTCTAAACTAATAAGTCGGTTTTTAAATATGTAATTTGAATACCGGTACTTTAGTAGAAAATGCCGGTTTCCAATTTATTATGTAGATTAAAAAAAAAATTCACCAGATTGATGAAAATCTATAGCCGTCCTTCGTTTCACTATTATAAAATATTTACATTATATGTAATAAACAAGAAAACAAATATCTTCTTATGTATAAAAATGGAGCTCTCGATAAAATGATCCGCTTAAACTCGAAAACGGCTAAACCGATTTGGTCAGTCTTAGTCTTGAAAAATTCATGCTAATCAGTAGGTTGTCAAAAAGGTGAGATTATTTCAAAATCGCGTAGAAACTTTACATTTTTAATTTGAAAATCCATAATATTTTAATTTGTAGAAGCGTAAATTAAATAAAACAATGAACGGTGGGGCTAATAATTCGAATGTCGAACGTTTTTGACAGATGATGTTCAGTTACGTTTAATAGGATGTTTTAGGTGAATATGATATAATTATGAATAAATTTGTGTAAGAAGTTATATTTGTAGTTACATTTATACCATACACAAAAACGTTATTAAACGGATCGCAAGTGTTACTAGAAACTCAAAATATCAACTTTTTTGAATTGTAATATGAAAATGCACTTTTTGGCGTTGTAGCACTCGTTTTTGCAAATAATATTTTTCTCAAATACGGTGCTCTGAAGGATCTCATTTATATAATTATATACTCATTGGTATTTATAAAACATTTTCTGGGTTATATTATTTTTTATTTATATTATTTAAATTCAGAACCTAAATTTGGTATCGATCAAAGGAACATTTTTTCGAATAACATTTTCCCAGTTATAATGTCCCAGAATTTATCAAAGAATAGATGGTGATATATGAAGGTCCGCGGTTAAAAAGGTCCACAACTGATGTGTCAAAAACCAGTAAAGTTAAGCATGGTTTAATAACAATATTTGAAAGTAGAGGGAAAAAGATGTATAACCAGCTATAACCTTGATTCTGACTCTGCTATCGGGAGATAAACGGTAATCTTTGATGATCCATAATAAAAGTATTTTCTTCCGTTGGTAGTTTTTAGCATTAGTTAAAAATTTATAAATAATATAAAAATAATTTAAAATGTAATTATTTTGAAAAATACCTTTAAAATTAAAATAAAACATTAAACCTGTTTGCCACCTGGCCGTTCCAAGTTACTCCGCCTATAGGGTAAAAAGGAATAGATAAATTTTTGAAAAATAGCAAAAAAGAACATTTCTACAACGATGAAGTAGCTGACAGTTTTACTGAACGTAGTCAGATAATTGTTCGTTTGAAATGTGTTATTTGTTGTGATATAATTGGTTTGATTTTTATAATTAATATTTGCTCAAAGTCAAATTGAAGCTTTGTGCCTCGCCCTGCTCTACATATATACTTTTTATTAAATTTACTTTAATTCAACAAATGTTACTTGAAACTTTTCAAAGAGCAGGTCAAAGAAGAAATACTTAATTCATTTTCTATCTCTCCTCGCAGAAATTTGAAAATTTTGTATAAGCTCAGTAGTATTATTTACATTTACTTATACACAAAATCTAAAATCCAAAAAGAATCTGAAAAACTTGAAACGTAATCAATAAGTCGAAAGACCAAAAAAGACTTGGATAGGATTATACCATGTTTTCTATAGAAAATGTATAAAACTTCCAGTTTGATTGTTTAGACAAAATATAGACAAACTAATGGGGTTTATTGTTTTTATAATACCACATTGCATATAGCATTCAAACAACACATCCTTATACACTTAAAGTATTAATATTTTTGATTCTCTAGAAATTGTTTGGAACATACCTTCATTAGCAAAACAACGTTTGCCGGGTCAGCTAGTTATCAATAAAATTGAATAGTAATTTATTTCAGGCAAAAACTGGTTTTAATCACTCGAAATTTTCTGTTGAAATTTTTTGTTCGAACTATTCGAGCAAATGGTTTTTTATAAAAACTCGAAATCGGTTAAAACCTTTTTTTTGGAAAAATACTATACAAAAACCGGTTTTCTACAATGTCAGTTTATATATGAACCCTAATATCAGAAGTCTTAATTAAAATGTTTGTATAAACATAATCGATAGTCATTTAATAGCGTTTGCGCTCAAAGAATTTTTTTTATTGCATTGCAGAATGTTGAAAGATATATAGAAAATTCTTAATTTTTTACATAATTTAGAGTTTAAATAAATATTTTTATGTTTTATATGTAAATATATAAAATTATTGGCATTGATAGTGTATGACGATACACTGTCAATGTCAATCAATGTTAATGAAAAAAGTAGGTTCAGAAGCTTCAAATAAAGTAAGTACGGAAGCAAGTGCAAAAGAGGTTCAAAGAGGTATCAAGTTGTGGAAAATGAGCGTTTCGCAAAATTCAAAGTATGCAGTAAAAATTTTTTATTCAATTATTAAATTCTTTTGTAAACATTTTTTTATATTTTTCCAAACACATAAATTACATACGTAAAACTTTTACATTTTATTGAGAGTTTCGTAACAACATACAAGATCTGAACACTTAAATACTTAAATTATCTATATTAGCTATCAGACTAAAACGTTGTTTTTCAAATGTTTACGAAAGAGTGTGCCATTTTTAATAGAATCTCACCAAAAAATGATGTCAAATATTCTAATAATATTAATAATAATCAAATATTCTAATAATAATAACATTATTATCAAAAGAAATAAATTTGAAGCCCATATCGATCAAAATTTAAGTCTTATTGTTAGTCGAGGAATCTTTGAAATTGTGAAATAGTTCAAATTGCACTGACCTGTTGATATTCGTAGAACTGCGTAGCAGAAGCGGCCGCTGCTGCCACGGCCGCCGCGTGCGATAGTTGCGTCGCTTGCAGGGGTACAATACCAGCCGCTGCGGGGCTCAGGTACGGCGATTGGTACACATAACCGGGAGGCACT